CAAAAAACATTGATTTACAGTCTATGTGTGCATGGACACATAGGATAACATGCTGGGGAGTTTACTGGCTGTAGAAAAAAAGTAAAAAGCCAAAAACAGCAGCTGTGAAAATGTCAAGTGTGCATGAGGACTAATAGTGCAAAATATTTCCCAGAAGGTGCTGTGTCTGATATTAGCTGTTGCTACATTTCTGTGAATTCAACATAGAAAAGGGAAATAAAGCAAAGAAACTGACATTCACTAAACATTCATTAAAGGTAAATCTTCCTGGTGCACATGTTTTAAATGATAATGAATAATTCACCACCAGTGAATTTTCAGTAAAAGTCACTTTCACGGCTTTATAAATATGCCTCTTAGTGTTTTCCAATGGAGACTTTGAATGTTCCATGGAACTCGTAATGCAACATTACAAAGCATTTCAGCTCAAGTTATATTGAAATACTAGGCTTAGTTCACATTGTGTGGGATGTAGAGGAACATCTAAGGCAGTGTGTGTGTTTACTGGTGACACTCTTTCCCCGGATGGGTGGAAGTGCGCATATTTGGGAATCTAGTTCTGCTATAAAGAGTTTTACATTGTCAGTTGCTTTACCATAAATGTAGATTCCCGTGCACAGTGAAAGTCACATTGGGCCATTTTGTGTTCATTGTGAGGCCCATTTTTTTCAGTGTGCACCCCTCCCTTTGATGAAACACTGCATTTAACTTTAAAAAAAAGCAACCTGTAGAGGGGAAAAAGTTACAAAGTATACGTACCATGTCCCCAGGCTTCTGTAGTGCAGGAGGTGATGTCTTCATCCTGAAAAAGAGATTTCAGGGAATGATGACTCCTCCATATCTCACATGAAGATGCTGGAGCACAATTCAAGATAATCTTTTCAGTGAGATTTGGGCTACTCAACATTCCCCAGGATCATGCCAGATGGATGATGATTTCATCCTCACATAGGTGGAACTTGGGGAAAACATATTATCTAACTTTTTCCACATAGGTGTTGTTTTAAAGGTCAACTCCACCTTTAACAAAAGACCATGTTTGGCGACATTACTTTGCCACCACATGTGTACCACCCTCTGGCCACAGTATTAGATTAAGGTGGGCAGTAAAGCTGCGGCAACCTATGTTGCACTGTCTTCCATTGACTTGTAGTTTATTCATTCACAAATGTATGTGAATGAATGACGCTGCTGTGTGGGCGCACAGTCATGCCACATTTCATATATGACAGAGGCTTTGTGGGAGAAGAACCCCTGCATGCTATGGGGGTGAGGAAATCTGCTTAGCAGCTTGTTACATGTTACACCCTAAATGTGGGTGTAACATATAACATAGTCTTAAAGGTGGACTTGACGAAAGTGGGAAAAAAAGAGCTAAACCTTTTAAAGTTAAAAGAAGAGAGCTGACCTTTAAAACAACATCCATGGGGAAAAAAAGTTAGATAATATGTTTTCTTCATGTTTCGCCTGCAGTGCCTAGGTGAGGATAAAGTCATCATCCTTCTGGCATGGTCCTAGGGAATGTTGAGTAGCCCAAATTGGAAGGCTTTCAAGGGGTGAAACAGACAGAGAGGATGTAGCTTATTGCCTCCCAGCTATCTGGCCAATGCCCTCTGCAAAGCGATCTAGTGTGCATCATTTTTCAGGGGGACTGCAATGACAGCCGCGTATGGAAATGAGCCTTAAATGTAGCAACATTTCATTGAAAATCATATGAACATCCCTGTATTTTTTAAACAGCTGTTTTCTTTTGCTTTGTGTGAATCATTTGTTTTTAAACATTTATTGCTTACATCCACTAGTGTATATAAATGTAGCTATTATATTTTGACAGCTTGGCATAGATGTAGCTTTGTTCTATTTAGGTAAGCAGTGAAAGTTGTTGTTTTACATGTTTAGGGTATTCATTGATGGCTTTGATTATCCACTATCCTGTACATACCAATGCCAGTGCGATTATCATAATAACTATTCCTACACACTGCAGATGGTAGGAGGGAAGAACTGGGCAATAATAGTGAAAGACCCCCAAGCTGCAGGCTGTGATTTTAGGATAAAACCTATACACAGCATTCAAGGGACAGGTGAATATTCCAACGGGACTGTCCCAGGAAAACCGTGACTGTTCGCATTTGCTATCCTCAAGATTCTGCTGCAGGTGTAATATATTGACTTCAAATTTGAGGCATCCAAGCATAGAAGAAGTTTGTTGCTTGATCCAGCCAATTCAGGCTAGATTGGCTAATAATTGTTATGTATTTGGTTTCTAGATTACAAGATTATTTATTCTCAGAAGTATATTGTATTAGTTTAGTTGGATTTTAATATTTTTCCACTTAAAGTAAAGGCTGGCTCTGGGCTTGCCTGCAAGGTCTTCTCTATTGCATAAACCTGCAGGTTTGGGTTTTGTGAGTGTGCATGTATCAATTATTTGTGAAGACATAAAGGCTTGGATTAATGCATCTAATTCCATCTGCCATCTACTGGCTGTGGCTGGCTTCCTTTTTTTCTTGTGGTGAACCTACCATGGAGTAAATGGGAACATTTCACAAAATTGATTATAAAGCAGCTATTTTACCAACCCTTTGTCCTTTTTAACCTAGTTGGGATCTCAGACAGTTTTAACCAGCCAGCAGGTGATTAGATTGAAGGTACAGTGGCACAAATTGTTGTACACACTGTATGATTCTGAGTTATCTACAGTATGCAACAATATCACTGAATGTCCCACATGGAAGAAAAATATATTTTAAATATATTTTAAAAATATTCTCCCCAAATATATTGATATATATTTGAAATACTACAATATTGGCCATAATCAATATATTTATTGATCTATCTATCTATTTAGTCGTATCCGACCCTTGGCGATTGCATGGACTGTCACTTGTAAGCGACTTTTTCCATTAATTCTCCTAGCAATTATTTTACAGTTTAGGTTATATATATATATTGAGATATATTGAATATGGCCAAAATGGTAGCATTTCAAATATATGTCATTATATTTGGGAAGACTATTTTTAAAATATATTTCAAATATATTTTTCTTGCATATGGGGTAGGCACAGAACCAGCACTGGCTGCCAGGATATTGATCCACTGGGATGAAAAATCATCAGGCAACTAGTTTTAGATGATTCTCAATCTGAGATAATGTATGTGTACTCCTCTATGAATAATTCACCAGACATGAACTATTCACTTAATATACACAACCCAAAAAATACTAATTCTAGGGCCTCTCACTCCTTATAGGACAACCATACATCTATGTTTATGGTTAGCTTTAGCTCTCTCTATTGACTAAAGTGTATATAAATCCTAAGAACACTTTTTTTCTAATTTGGTCTTTTTTGTCTGTTAAATATACCCAGCTTTTTGTTATATCTTATCTATAAGTAGTGCATACAAATACCTGTTGAACCTGCCAAAAATAATAGTGGAAATTTTCTGTGCTTATTGTCTATGCTACACTGTTATTTGCTACATTGTTCCTAGTTATCTCTGAGGAGTACAAAAGCCCTCTCCCTATGTAAGGGAGCAGAGTGAGGTTTCCTATAGTCCTAACACACTTCCTATCAATGGGTGAAAACACTGCCTCTCCAGGGGCACAGTCACAGTCTTAGGGAGAGAGAGACCCTCTCCCCTGTTTGCTGGTAAAAGCTGCAAAAGTTTTCCAACATCAGTATGCATAGCATCTGGTGCAAGTAGGAATATGCTTTCGGTATCTTTGATCCCTCCTGTTAACTGTGATGGAAGTATGGTAACGTGCTAGTGGCACCACAACTAATTGGAGTACATTTGCTAATCGGTAAAAGACAGTTGTGGAATAGAGATAAATAGAGAATAGAGATATTTAGAAAATGTTAAATAATGCATGCACTCTGATCACAGTCTTTGCCAAGCTATCCCAGAGGGCTATCTCTTTCCCCTCCTGTTTGTGTGTGTGTATGGGAGGTGCAGGGTCTGCCTGAGCCATCAATATGGTCAGCAGTTTGGGCAGATAGCAGAGACCGTTAGAGTAACTTTATTTCCCTAATCTCCTGAAGTAGTTATACAATATATGTGAAATGCATCGGGAAAAAAAAAGGAGACGTGGGTGCCAAGAAAAACTAAACCTCTGGACTAATCAATGTAGATACTGTATACAGCAAGGGGTACATCACCTGTGTAGATATCTCCCTAGTGGGAGAATTGTAACTGTCATTTTTATTGCAAAAACTATACAGGGACATAAGGAATGTATAAAAATATAAGTCTCTTAATGATGATTAAGTAAATAATGAAATCTCTTATTTTCAAGAGTCAAGTGTCTTTATACAGCACCTTAAAAGCATCTGTAGGCTACTTTTAGCAGCTGTGGTGTACATAGGGGGCTTGGTGTCTAAAATTCACTCATTGCTCAATATACAGTATATGGAATTTTCCATGGATACAGTACAATGAAGTAGCGTTTTCACTCACTGAAAGAATATGTGTTATTGGCAGGATCCCTAGGTGAAAACAACAGAAAAAAAATGAAGCCACCAAGCCTAGGGACGGGTACGCTGCAATATATTACATTTTGATTCTTGGGTTTAGATACACTTTAATTTTAGGGGATCTTACCATTTATAATCACACAAATAGCCCTTAAACATAGATGCATACAAAATAACTTTTAATCCCTTCAAGCTGTACAGTTTACAGGAAACAAAGACAATACAGAATACTTCCTATAACAATTATGCATGTTTTATTCCTGTTGACAATGGTAGGAAGTACCATACACAGTTATACACAATCTTCAAATTCATAGAACTGTTATGAAATAACTGAAATATATGAAAACGATCTCAAGCCTTGTACACTGATAAGCAGAAATGATAATTTGTGCAGTGTCTGTTCTGTTGGTATTGTTGGCTCTCCAGGTATTCTGTCTGTCATAATCAGCATAGCTATCAAGTAAATACTGCTGGTTTCCTCTCCTGTTTTTGCCCTTCCTGTTTTCTACAGAAATCTCCCTGTCCTTCTCCATCCTGCGACGCTCCACCCTGGGCCCTAATGTCTCTCTGCAGGAGGCAGCTAGGAAGACTCTGTGGGCTCTAGAAAATGATAACAAGGAAACCCTGTTACTATTTAAGGTAAGCCTCCAGTTCACAGATGTATTGCTAGCAATCTGTCGGCAATCACTCTTTATATACTGTGTGTACTGTATGTATGTGTGTGTGTGTATATATAAAATATATATATATATATATATATATACAGTACTGTGCAAAAGTTACAAAAATTACAAAATGCAAAGTGAGCAAATAGAAGAAATATATGTCAAATCAATATTTGGTGTGACTACCCTTTGGCTTCAAGCCAGCATCAATTCTTAAATTTGGACACTTGTACAAAGTCAGATTTAGAGGTGTATGGTTAATCATTATACCAAGAAGGGGTTAATGATTGTCAATTTCACATGTAGGTTTAAACACAGTTGATAATTGAAACAGAAACAGCTGTGTAGGAGGCTTACAACTGGGTGAGGAACAGACAAACTCTGCTAGAAAGGTGAATGTGAGGAGCATGTAACACGCCTGTTCCATGGCAGTTACTGGTCTCATTCCAGCATCCATTTTTTTGTTGAGCTGCACTATCCCTGTCTGAATATCCACTTGCAGGGTGATTGATGTAAACACAGCCTCAGAGTTTAGTCCAAACCTGTTTTAAGCCTGCCAAGCCCTTAGTGTCATGTTTGTAATAGTGTCTGCAACACGTTCTTCAAGCTCCCTATTTACCTGCCTTGTTTCCATTCCTTGACCTTTACCTACCCCCAATCCCTGCCCTGCCAGCTAGTTTGGATTTCCTGGTTATCGACCTCAGATTGAGCTTTGGACTACTCTCTGAACTCAGCCTGCTTTTTATCCATGGATTTGACCCTGAATACTCTCTGAAGGTAGTTTGCTCTGAACCTGTACTGTCATAGGACCACTCTGCCTGTATATCAACTGTAAGAAACCTGTTGACTGTGCTTAGCTTGCGCCTACACTGGCGTGGTAGCCAGGCAATAGGTGAAGAACACAGAAGTCAGCTATAGTGCCTGACTACCAAGGCTAGGGATAGGCGTGACAGTGAGGCTGTGGAAGACAGTTTCATGTCACAGGTCATGCACCATGGCAAGACTGAGCACAGCAACAAGACACAAGGTAGTTATACTGAATCAGTAAGGTCTCTCCCAGGCAAAGATTTCAAAGCAGATTGGGGGTTTGAAGATGTGTGATGTTGAGGAGGACGATAGATGCAGTGAAAACTTAATGCAGCAGATGGAAGACACATCAAGCTTACTTCCCTTCGATATTGGAAGATGTCCAGCAGTGCCATCAGCACAGAACGGATGGAAACCAGTGGGACCCAGGTACACCCATCTATTGTTTAGAGAAGTCTGGCCGGGATTGATCTTCATGGAAGTATTTCAGCCAAAAAGCCATACCTTCGACATGGAAACAAAGCGAAGCAACTCAACTATGCGCAAAATCATAGGGGGTCCAGAAAAATGGCAGCAACTGATGAGTCAAAATATTAAATATTTGACTGTAGCAGGAGTTAGTTTGTTCACCGAAATGCTGGAGAGCAATGCAGCAATGAGTGTCTATAGGCAACAGTGAAGCATGGTGGAGATTCCTTGCAAGTTTGGGGCTGCATTTCTGCAAATAGAGTTGGAGATTTTGCCAGGATCAATGGTGTCCTCAATGCTGAGAAATACAAGCAGATACTGTACTTATCCACCATTCCATACCATCAGTATAAAGAAGAACATGGACATGATGGATTTACTCCCATAGATCCCTGATCTCAAAAGTCTGTCTGGGATTACATGAGGAGACAGAGGCAGCCTACATCTACAGAAGATCTGAAAAATTGTGTGCAAGTGTACCTAGAAGAATTGATGATGTTTTAAAGGCAAAGGATGGTCACACCAAATATTGATTTGATTTGGATTTCTCATTTGTTAATTTACTTTCCATTTTGTTAATTGATAACAAAACTATTAACACTGCTATTTCCGAAAGCATTTTTAATTTACAGCATTTTTTCGAACCTGCTTAAAACCTTTGCACAGTAGTGTGTGTGTTTGTGTATTTATATACTGTATATGTTGTGTGAGTGTGTGTATGAGTGTGTGTATAGGTATATGATATATAAATTAGGTACTGTTACTATTGCTGCATGGCATCATATATATGGTTCTTAAACAGAGAGGCTGTTAAGGCAGGTACTGAACAACTTCGATTGGGCAATATCAAAATATGGAGGTACTGCTTTTAGGAACTCCTGTGTGATGTTAGACTCTATTTTTACACAAAAAATGCCTCCCTTGCAATTTTGTACTTTAACTGAATAATTATAAAAATCTGTGCTTGGAAAATTCCACTCCAAATATATCTAAACACTCCAGCAGGTAAAAATACCCTATTACACAGCAGGTGGAAATACCCTATTACACAGCAGGTGGAAATACCCTATTACACAGCAGGGGGAAATACCCTATTACACCAAATAGGTCCGTATATTCTGACTCCAACTGTTGTATTGACTTGCTGAGACCTCTATGCCTGGCCTGTATATGCAGATACAATCACCGTGGGCAGTCTTTGTCAGATAGCTGAACTCAACCATGGTCCATTAAGAAGATCTTTTATTGAATGCAGCAGGTTAACAGCAGAGAACAGGATGTAGAAGATTATTAAAAAGATGATATCCTTATGAGAGCAGTTTACCATGTGGGTGTGAGACATGTGGGCCATCTTTATCCATTAAAAAGAATGTGAGGAGGAAGGGTAAATACGTTATAAAAATGGGAGGGAACATGGAAAAAGATGGCGCAATAACCAAAATGATGGTAGTCTATATATGCCACTGAGGTCAATAATCATTTGCATAAGGAAAATTAACTATATAAATTCTCAATTCACAGTAATATGAACATTAACCACGACTATGCATTGTATTATATTTCCCTACAAGTGCAACAGCCACTCAACATTTAAAGAATGTGTTCCCAGCGCTTACAGACCCACTCCCCTAACAGCTACAAATTGTGTCCATAAACAAAAATATTCAAGTGTCTTGCAGACAGTGCTTCATAAAGAATGTTATTTTAAGAAATGTTCACCAGATAGTTAGACCCTAAATACCAATGGGTCATATTAATAGCCACTCAGTGTCACACTCCTCCCTCAGCGACCAAAGTTTCCAGATTCTTCACTTCTCACTTCCACTCAATAATGCTTAAGACAAATGAAAAAAAAAACCACTCATAGTGTAGTATTATATAAATAAAACAGTAGGAACACTCTTGATTGTACTAAAATAAATGTACAATTGCAATCTCAAAACCACCAATTCTATCCTCAATCATCCTATCCACCACTGTGTATACACCCCATGCAATGGATTCTTGCTAGATAAAATGACCTATTTGGTCAGATACAGCATGCCCATATATTCTTACTTGGTCTTCAGATACACATCCTTTAGGCTTCCCATGTACCAATAAAAGGGGCAGAGTATAAAGTTTTCTCATAGTTTAAATCCCCTGCATTATTGTTTAAAAATATGCTTACAGTGGGGCAAAAAAGTATTTAGTCAGCCACCAATTGTGCAAGTTCTCCCACTTAAAAAGATGAGAGAGGCCTGTAATTGGCATCATAGGTAGACCTCAACTATGAGAGACAAAATGAGAAAAAAAATCCAGACAATCACATTGGCTGATTTGGAAAGAATTTATTTGCAAATTATGGTGGAAAATAAGTATTTGGTCAATATCAAAAGTTCATCTCAGTACTTTGTTTATATATCCTTTGTTGGCAATGACAGAGTCAAACGTTTCCTGTAAGTCTTCACAAGGTTGGCACACACTGTTTGTTGCTGGTATGTTGGCCCACTCCTCCATGCGGATCTCCTCTAGAGCAGTGATGTTTTGGGGCTGTCGCTGGGCAACACGGACATTCAACTCCCTCCAAAGGTTCCCCTGGAGGTGATTTCACGTCACTTCCTTCTGTCCCATAGTCAACAGGAAATGAGCAGAAATCCCTCCAAAGTGAGAGAATTCCTGGTAGTCACCTTGTTGTCCTGGTAGTTATAAGATTTCCACTCTATTCCTATTCTGGTGACAACTCAAAATTTGGGATGGGATTTACTTTCACTTTTCTGACAACGGCAAACAGGCCAAATAGGAAAGGTGCATCTCCCTAAAGGGGGCACAGACAGCAATAAACACCTAATATATCTTCTAATCCTTCTCCATTCTATCCAAAATTTTAAAAACAATTGTACCTTTAGTTATACTTTATACCTCTCATCTCCTGAGATGGGGAAAGAGGGGCATCTTTGTGTGTAGGCAAAGAATACACCTCTGCCATGACCCAAATTTAGACCATAAATAATGAATATGCAGAAAATGATTGGGTAAACCCACGTGTCCTTATAAGCACTAATTCTCTTTCATACTGGCTGTGCCTAACAACAAATGTAAGAATATAGATGGTGGATGAAAGGTTTAGAATTTTAAAATAATTTTGGTAGTCAAATAATAAATTGTTTAATGAGGTCTATACCTCTAGACCAGTGGTCTCCAATTTGCAGTATGGGTGCTGAATGTGGCCCTTTGCTTGCCTATATCTGGTCATTGAGGCATTATTCTTGCCATGGACACCAACAACGAGGCATAATTCCTCCCACTGACACCAACGATGGGCAATATTTCTCCTGATAATACCAAAGCGTTGTTTACTCTCACTGGGCACAGTCCAGCCCCTCTAAAATCTGAAGGACAGTAAACTGGCCCTTTATTTAGAAAGTTTGCAGATCCCTGCTCTAGACTAAAAAAGATGGACAGATCAGGAAGAATAAAGGGCAGAGGGGTTTTGTTTAAAATGATGGACAAGAAAATGTCAGAATTCTGTGCTGTGAACTATCTATACACTAATTGCCACTGTATAGAGCAGGGGTACTGAATTAAACTCATGGAGATCTGACCAGTAAGAGAAGTTCTGAACCGCATTTTTTTTCAGCCCTCTCCTACTGTATATCACAAACCCTAAACTTGTCCTCAGCCCCCCCTATACGTCACAGTCCCCAACTTCACGTCAGGTTCACCTTCACAGTAGTGTTATCAGGCCCCCTGCTCATCACCCCCACCCAGCCCTTTACCCCCGCCCCACACTACTGTTCTCTGCTCCCTTCACATCTCTCCCCCACACTACTGTCCTCTTCCCCTTCACATCTCTCCCCCACACTACTGTCCTCTGCCTCCTTCACATCTGTCCCCCACACTACTGTCCTCTGCCCCTTCACATCTCTCCCCCACACTACTGTCCTCTGCCCCCTTCACATCTCTCCACCACACTACTGTCCTCTGCCCCTTCACATCTCTCCCCCACACTACTGTCCTCTGCCCCCTTCACATCTCTCCACCACACTACTGTCCTCTGCCCCCTTCACATCTGTCCCCCACACTACTGTCCTCTGCCCCTTCACATCTCTCCCCCACACTACTGTCCTCTTGCCCCTTCACATCTCACCCCCACACTACTGTCCTCTGCCCCCTTCACATCTCTCCCCCACACTACTGTCCTCTTCCCCTTCACATCTCTCCACCACACTGCTGTCCTCTGCCCCTTCACATCTCTCCACCACACTACTATCCTCTGCCCCCTTCACATCTCTCCACCACACTACTGTCCTTTGCCCCTTCACATCTCCCCACCACAATACTGTCCTCTGCCCCTTCACATCTCTCCCCCACACTACTATCCTCTGCCCCCTTCACATCTCTCCACCACACTACTGTCCTCTGCCCCTTCACATCTCTCCAGCACACTACTATCCTCTGCCCCCTTCACATCTCTCCCCCACACTACTGTCCTCTTCCCCTTCACATCTCTCCACCACACTACTGTCCTCCTCCCCTTCACATCTCTCCACCGCACTACTGTCCTCTGCCCCCTTCACATACTGTCCTCTGCCTCCCACCACACTACTGTCCTCTGCCTCCTTCACATCTGTCCCCCACACTACTGTCCTCTGCCCCCTTCACATCTGTCCCCCACACTACTGTCCTCCTCTGCCCCTTCACATCTCTCCCCCACACTACTGTCCTCTGCCCCTTCACATCTCTCCCCACACTACTACTATCCTCTGCCCCCTTCACATCTCTCCACCACACTACTGTCCTCTGCCCCTTCACATCTCTCCAGCACACTACTATCCTCTGCCCCCTTCACATCTCTCCCCCACATTACTGTCCTATTCCCCTTCACATCTCTCCACCACACTACTGTCCTCCTCCCCTTCACATCTCTCCACCACACTACTGTCCTCTGCCCCCTTCACATCTGTCCACCACACTACTGTCCTCTGCCCCCTTCACATCTGTCCACCACACTACTGTCCTCTTCCCCTTCATATCTGTCCACCACACTACTGTCCTCTGCCCCCTTCACATCTCTTCCCCACACTGCTGTCCTCTGCCCCCTTCACATCTCCCTCCCACACTACTGTCCTCTTCCCCCTTCACACCTCTCCCCCACACTGCTGTCCTCTGCCCCCTTCACATCACTCCCCCACATTACTGTCCTCTTCCCCTTCACATAACCCCCAGCAGAACTGTGCCCCCTTCACATCCCCCCACAACACTGCCCCCCCTTTACATCTCCCTCCCCACAGCATTGCCCCCCCCCCACATCTCTCCCAACAGCACTGCCCCATTCCCTCACATCACAAATTCTTCCCCCCCCCAACAGTAGTGCCCTTTTTACATCAACCCCCCCTCTCCACACTCACACAGCACTGCCCCCTTCGCACCCCACCCCAGTAGTATACTTTGCCCTCCTCACCTCAACCTCACCCCCCTCTTCACATCCCTACCCCACAGTACTGTCCTCTGCCCCTTCACATCCCCCCAACACAACTCTGCCCCCTCTTTACATCTCCCCCTCCACAGCAATGCCACCCTCTTTGCATCACATATTCGCCCCTTTACATCACCCCTTCACAGCACTGCCCACTTTATATCACCCCCCACCACCACCATATTCACACAGCACTGCCCCTCTTCATATTTTGCCCCCCTTTACATCACACACACAGCCAGAGTAGTGTCCCCGGTCCCCTTTCACTCTCCTACCTTAGAGCGGAGTGCGGGAGGCAGAGCATTTCTGAATCGGTGTGGGATGCACAGCACATCATTGAACAGGGTCGCTTCTTTACCCCCATCTTCCGCCACTGTTATAAAAGCAGAGCAGACAGCAGGAGACAGAACATTTCTGGAGCGAGTGGAATAACAGCACAGTATTGAACAGAGCACGGGAGCGGGAGCTGTCATAACATTTCTGGATCGGATGCGCAGAAAAAGATCAGAAAAGAGCACAGGAGCTGCGGGGGTTAACTTTTTGTTGTATTAACCAGCAGGTGATTGGCTGCTAGCACTGCCCTGCTTCCAATCAGCCGCTGGTTATTTTAAAAAGTTAACCCCGGCAGCTCTCGCTCTCTATTCAATGCTGTATTGTGCTTCCCATATCCGTTCCAGAAATTTTATGACAGCTCCCGCTCCCGTGCTCTGTTCAATTACTGTGCTGTTATTCCACACTCGCTCCAGAAATGTTCTGTCTCCTGCTGTCTGCTCTGCTGTTCTGACAGCGGTGGAGGATGGGGGGAAAGAAGCAGCTCCTAAATGGTGTGATCGTGTCCGGATGAAACAGTGGCTTGGTCCCCCATTTAGTGATGCCTGGTATAGAGTATCACATCCAACACCCCAAAATCATATGATACAATATAGTGCAAAAAATTATAAAACCTTTTTCAACTACAAAAAGAAGGTTAGTTTTCTGCCCATATACTACCAAAGAAACCCCAAACGTGTGCACGTTTGTTTTTTATTGGTAGTATATGGCACAAGTTTTTTTTTTATTATTATATTTAAAAAAGGTTTTATAATTTTTTTTTTTGTTTACCAACTTTTTTATTGGAAAGGCAGACTACAAAAACTGTACATCATAAAATGAGGTATAATGAACAGTAAGAAAGAAGCACATAAGTAATTTTCACTTACATAGAGACAATCACAAAATAAAAATCAAGTACATGAGAGAAGCAAACAACAACAATGTTGGCAGATCAACAGCATTAATCCTAAAAAGACAAGGACAGATCAGGTTATGATAGGAATTCAATCTAACATCAAGTGTGGATGTGTCTTTCAACCATCCCATTTACTGTTGAATAAATGCATCCTATCCAATAATGTGTACTGGATACGTTCCATGAGCATGACCATATCAATTCTCCGTAAAACAAAGGCCAATGGGACTACAGGCAATTTCCAATGCAGGGCTATGGCCCATAGGGTGGAAACGCAAATAGTATGAATCAACCTCATTAAGTTAGCAAGAATCCCCGAAATGGGTGAATCCAGTAAACAGATTTGTAGTGACAGGGCAACCGAAGAACCCACCAAAGCAGAGGCAACCTCCAATATCCTTCGCCAAATCAATGAGAGAGCAGGGCAAGCCCAAAACATGTGCATAAGAGTTCCAGCAAGGCCGCAACCCCTAAAACAGGTGTGATGTTCCCAGAAACATGACATGTACTCTGAAAGGGGTATAAAAGGTTTTATAATTTTTGCATATTTGAGCTATTGTATTAGAAAATGAGGGACAGACCCTCAAAATGAGGGGCCGTTGGAAGCTATGCTTTTACTGCCTTACACAACCAACCCAATCTACCAATCGGCCGAGGAACAGCTTTCCTGCCTCCTGCAAGCTAGTGATTGAAACCTGAGCAGTCATGTGCCATTCCCAAACATTGTCATCTTGGGCTGGTACCAGGGGCGGACTGACCATTCCGGCACTCGGGCACTGCCCGAGGGCCCGGGGTCAATAGGGGCCTCATGAGATGCCCCTGGTACCTTTCAGAGGCTTTTTTGGGTGTGGTTTGAATGTGGGCGAGGACACGGGCCCCATGATCCCCTATTGCCCCGGGGGCCCCATGAGTTGCCAGTCCGCCCCTGGCTGGTACTGAGCAATATACAAATACCAAAAATTGTTAATTGTGTAGGGTTTATGGCAGGGGTAGACTGTCAACTCATGGGGCCCCCGTGCAATAGGGGATCATAGGGCCTCTGTGTCCTTGCCCACACTCAAACCACACCCAAAAACGCCTATGAAAGCTACCAGGGGCATCTCATGGGGCCCCCTTCTGATCCTCGGGCAGTGCCTGATTTTGCAAATAGTCAGTCCGCCCCTGGTTTATGGTGCTCTGCAGATCTGGATTGCAGAAGGGAGGGTAGGGGTGGGGGTTGCATGCAGGGGTTGCAGGTGTCTTGTGTTGACGAAAATGCTTAAGGTACCCATAAGAATGACATAACTGGGTGGTTTCGATGACTGTGGGTACCCTTTAATGACAGCAAACATCCCTAAGATTGATAATCAGGAGACAAGTCTACCATCAGGGGGTGGATATTACCATGAAATAGGGAGTGTGTGACATAACCAATGTACAAGTTGTCTGACTGCCATCTAGTGTCCACAATAGAGCATCGCTTTTAGCATGATTTTCTAACAGGGCCCTATTTAAATGTCATTTATTTCAGGAGCTGTCCGCCCGGCTAGTATCCATCCAGGCTCAAAATGATGTTTTCATTATCACCTTCAAGACTATAGAGGAAATCTGGAAGTTTACTACTTATCTCTCACTAGGTTAGTGTTGACGCATGCCTTTCTTTCCAGGTGGTATTTTTTCACTGCTCTGTTCATTATTATTTAAAAATATCACTTAACTGGATCATTGTCAAATAAAAAGGCAATGAATCTACAGCCAATGTAAATACAGGCTACATACATGAACTGGACACAAAAAGTGCACTTGGGTGAGAAATAAAGTTTGCTGGTATACATTTACTATGCATTTACAGATTGGGGATTAAATGGTAGGCGATAGTTCTGATAAATTGTTATAGAGAGCTCGCCAGCGGTAAATTATTATTATTATTATACAGGATGTATATAGCGCCAACAGTTTGCTCAGAGCTTTACAATATAACGGAGACAATACAGCAACAATACAGTTCAATACAAGAGGACAAGAGGGCTAGGAGGGCCCTGCTCCTTAGAGCTTACAATCTAGGAGGGAGGGGGTACAAAAGGTAGTAAGTGGACTGGTTGGAAGAGTAGAAGACATTAAAGGATAGTATCACCTGTGAGCAGAGGGGGATGGATAAATTGGGGTTGGAGTTCCAGAGGATTTATTTAGTAGATCGTGATTAGCGCCAAAGGGTTATTAGCGCTGAGGGGGGGGACAATACATGGAACTTAACATCAAACAGTACACAAGGGGTTAGAGGGCCCTACTCTTTCGAGTTACAATCTAGGAGGGAGGGGGTAGAGGCACCAGAGGAAGCGGCTGTGGGGGATGAAGTAGGAGGAGGAGTAGGGCAGCGGCTGTTAGGTGAGGGTGGGGTAGCTTCCCTGAAGAGGTGGGTTTTCAGGGAGCGCCTGAAGGTGAGGAGGGATTGATGGGGTAGTAGTGAGTTCCAGAGGATGGGGGACCTGGAGAAGTCTTGCAGAAAAGTGCGTGGGAGGAGGAGACCAGGGAGCAAGATAGAAGAAGGTCCTGTGAAGAGCAGGGTACGGGTAGGGGTACCTGGGGACAGATGTAGGTTAGCTGTGAATGGCCTTATAAGTCAGGTGAGCAATTTGAATTTTGCGTTGGGCAATGGGGAGCCAGTGGAGGGAGAGGCAGAGGGGGGTGGCAGAGGTGGACGGCTGGTGAGGTGGATGAGGGGCCGCTGAGTTCAGGATGGTCTGAAGCGGGGAGAGCCTGACTGGGGACAGATAATCAGATTGTGGTGTCTGGGGTAAGGTCCTGGTGATGTAAGGTTGAAAGGAAAGGTTTGAGGAATGACGCCAAGGGCTTGCTGGGCATGGAGGTGTTGTTGGTAGTGATGGAAAGGATGGGGGGGGGGGGGCGCGGGCTGGGGGGAAGATGAGAAGCTCGGTTTTGGAGATGGCTTTATATGTTGCGAGGAGTGGAGAGTACGCTTTGGGTTGTATTTGGAGACAAGATTGGTGATGTAATTTGGGGCAGAGTTATAAATGGCTTTATATGTTACTTGTTAATGTTTTGAATTTTATAGGTTGGGCAACGGGAAGCCAGTGGAGGGATTGGCAGAGAGAGATGGCAGATACAGAACGGTTAGTAAGGTGGATGAGTCTGGCAGCAGCATTCATGATGGACTGAAGAGGGAATAGCCTGCAATTAGGTAGGCTAATGAGGAGGGAGTTACAATAGTGTAGGCGAGATATAACCAGGGTTAGTGAATAAGTTGCTTAGTGGTTTCCAAGGTTAGGAACGGCCGTTCCTAACCTATATACACTAACTACAGAGTATCTGCTCTCTGAATGGTAGAAAGTAAATGTGAACGCAATATGTACATATGTGGGGAAAAACAAAATATGGATGTTTAAAAATAAAGAATTTTAGCTCCATGCACACTGGCTTAAAAATGGCTTTCACAGGAGTTTTGTGTTTTTCCTCTAGAAGCAGCTCAGTGTTATCCTATGGGTCCATGCACATTGGGACGATAAGAGGCATAGTTTAAGATCAATGGTTAGGCAGGAGGTAGGAAAAAAAACCCCTTCTGATTGGCGCTTTCTGGCAGAAGAAAGTGCTAAGCTCTCCAAAACTCACCTAAACTGTGTGCAAAAATGCTCTATATCAGTATTTTTTTCTGCCAAGGGAACTGGTGTTTTTTTAAGTCCAGCATGCATGGAGTCTAAGGCTTCATTTAGATGTGTGGTTGGAGGAAGATAGGGGGAGGGCGACAAAAATGTGTGGTTGAGCTGTGCTTCTGTCACCCACCAACTGCCCCCTCCCCCTTAAGCTGTAATAGGCATGCAATCAGGGACGTTTACATGTCACAAGCCCGCCAAACTTTACATTGGGAAAAGCCACCAATAATCTGCAACCAAGTGCAATGCACGCAATTGCGGCATATTTGTTTGCAAAAATGCGGGTTAAAGCAGGTGGTGAGAAGGAGTCACATTGCTTCCTCATCACCTGTCAGTAGCCTCTGAAGGGCGATCTGAATGCAGATCAGGCTTCAGGTGAAAGGGAGATTTAGATGCACATCTAAATCTACCCTATGGATGTCATTACTTCCAGGTTCAGCTTAAAGTTTTACTAAATTGTGGTTAAAAAAAAATATGTATAATATGTATATATTTAAGTATGTATTCTTAAAGTGGGTGTAAAGGCCCAAGGTTTTTTACCTTCATGCATTCTTTGCATGAAAGTAAAAAACGTTCTGTGAGCAGCAGTGCCCCCAGCCCCTTCAATACTTACCTAAGCCTCATCGTGATCCAGCAATGTGAAAAACAGCTTCGGCTGTCCTGGGTATCTGCCTCCTTATTGGGTGAGACAGCAAGCGGGAGCCATTGAGGAGAGAGAGGGGGCGGGGCCAAGCCATGGCTCCGTGTATGAATGGACACACGTAGCAGTGGGTGCCCCCATAGCAAGCTGCTTGCTGTGGGGGCACCCAACAGGAGGGAGGGGCCAGGAGAGCCTGTGGGGGACCTGAGAAGAGGATCTGGGCTGTTCCGTGCAAAACCACTGCACACAGCAGGTAAGTATAGCATGTTTGTTATTTTTAAAAAGAAAAATGTAACCTTTAGAATCGCTTTAACTCAAAAAAGTACCTCTCATCCTGCTCTCATCCTCCTCCAAATCTCCAAATTCCTTTTCTTTGCTGCTGTGATCTGACTTCCTGTTAGAAGGTGGCTACGTTCATTGTCCATGGTCCCACTGTATGTAGAAACATAGCCACCCTCTCTTGTTTCCCCCCCTGAGATGGAATATAGATTATATACTATGGACTTTGGGATATGAAGTGTGCATAGAGCAGTTCACATGACCACAACTACTGTGCACTGCTCATTCCAAACAGAAGTGAGGGGAGGTTTGGGAGCTCATGGAAGGTGTTACAAAGAGACAGAAAAACACAGTAAGAAATTATTTTAAAAAATAATGGATTAGAGGGCCACTAAAGCGGAGCTCCACCCAAAAAAGGAAACTCTGCTTGTTTGCACCCTCCACTGCCACATTTGGCACTTTTTTTTGGGGGGGAGTGGGTACCTGGTTGACAAATTCGGTCCCCCTCCTCCCCCGCAGTCTTCTGGGACTCTTCACAGATCCCAGAAGACTACGGGACCATTCACAAGGCTAAGCGTGACTTACGCATGCACAGTAGGAAACTGCAAGACTTCACTTTCCCTTACTTGCTATGGCGGCAGAGGCTAGTGAAGAACTGTCTCTGTGCCCCTCATTAGGCAGATGCACTCTCTCTATCCTAGTGACAATTTTCAATGAAAGTGAAAGTGAAACAAATCCCAAATTCTGAGATGCACTAGAACAGGTATAAAGGTTCAATCTTTCAATACGGATTCTGGTGAGTGCCAGGGATTTCCTAACTTTGGAAGGATTTCTTCTCCCTTCCTGCTTTGGCTAGGGAACAAGAAGTGTCAGAAAGTATCCCCAATGGGTCACAGATGGTGAACAAAAACAAACAAATGAAAAACTTACAGGGGTTTTAACCCTCCCTTACTCTTATCCAAATTGAAAAAAAAGTTTTACCTTCAGTTGTACTTTAATAAATTTTGACCATCAAGTTAATTGAATAGGGTCTCTTACCACTTGTATACAATGTGTGCAACTTGTGTTAGAGTGTGCTGTAACATGCCCATTTGTTGTACATGTTGTCTTTTACCACTTTTATGTTATAAATTCAAAATTTTTCTACAATGCGGTAGTATTAAACCCAAAGCTAAAAATGTAATATATTGCAGATTACAAATCATTCAATGTGGTGGCTGCATTCTTTTCCTTTATTAAGCTTTTTCTCCCCTGGTGATCTGGCCAGTAACACACCTCCTGTATTGAAGTGCCCCCACTCTGGACAAATGAGCATAGGAGGCACCTTTGGACAGCATTGTCAGTCTGGGGAGGGGGAGAGGGGAGTGTTAAGATGTACTAGAAGGTTTATATAAAATAAAAAAGTGCTAAACTTCAGCTTGCACTGCAGTTACACAAGCAGGTACAGCAACATGTTTTTTTTCTTTTGGGATAGAGGCTTTACATACATAAAAAATAAAAGCTGATCATTGTAAGTAGCCCTGTCAGCAGTAAATGGGTTGTCTCAACCCTCTAATGGCTACATCTGCAGGGCAACTTGTTCTGAAAAAAACAGAAGATTTACTGGCAGGATCACTAGGTGGAAAAAAAAAGCAAGCCAAACAAAGAAAAATAATGCAGCCATCACATTTAAGAACTGCAAAGCTGCAATACAATAAATGTTTTTGGGTTTAGTACCACTTTAAAGTGTACCATAATATGCCCATTTATTGTGAATGTGGTCTGAAAGATATTAAATTGTGGGAGATTTAAACCATTAGCATTTACTGTGTATTTATTCAGTTTAGTTATTAAAACAACCCTGAACTGTCTCAGACCCTTAGTCAGCTGTCCTTTACATTTTCTATTTGATGGGGGTACCGTCCTCCTTAAAATCTTATAAGAAAAGTCACCCCTCATTTGCTGAATGTGGCAAAATCTTTCATTCCCAGATTTTAGAAGCAGACTACCTGTCCTTCACAAGCAGACTGGAAACGAGAAGTAAATAAGAGGCTGAACGTCTGGTACATATGGTTAAAAACCAACAGGAGAAGTTTGGAGGTGTATGGAGGGGTTGGATGTATTAATATATTGGATGCCTAAATACCGTTTTTACAGATTAGGTAGTATCTACTATGTTACCAATGTCACAGCATGCGTGAAACACCAGTGCTTTTGAGACTGCAACAGTTAATGCCTGTTCCATATAAAGAAAGCACCATTATCCATTATCAGGTTCATATTGTAGCAAAAATGAATTACGGTGTAGCAATGTAATTTTATACAATTAAAGTCTTACCTCTATTCCTAAAACCCTAAGCAAGTTATCTCTTTCCTAATTAAACTGGAATTTAGGAGTGTGTCTATTTGTGGATAAACTGCACAAAAATGCACTTGTTCATTCTGCTGTCTCCTTTGGTGATTTATGGACGTGGTAGTGACATAGAATATTACAATAAAGTTATATTCTCAGCTTCTTGGTAGAAGTACATAAATGTTGATTTTACTGCAGTTTCATTTTTAACCACTAGATGTCACAATTATCATTATTGATTGATAAAAGTGTTTCTATCAATATTTTATTTATTATTTATTTATCCCAGGTACTTACTGTATATAGCGCCGACAATTTACGCTGCACTTTACATATATTTTGTACATTCACCCATCATTCCTTGCCCTAATACAGTTTACAGTCTAAGATCTAAGATCTGAGATCAGTCTATCCTAAATTCTGCGGCCAGACTCATCCACCTTACTAACCGCTCCGTATCCGCCACCCCCCTCTGCCAATCCCTCCACTGGCTTCCGATTGCCCAACGCATACAATTCAAAATGCTAACATTGACGTACTAAGCTGTTCATAACACTGCCCCAAACTACATCACCGATCTGATATCCAAATACCACTCAAAACGTACTCTCGCTCCTCACAAGAGCTCCTACTCTCTAATTCCCTGGTCTCCTCCTCCCATGCCCATCTCCAGGACTTCTCCAGGGCTTCCCCCATCCTCTGGAACTCACTACCCCAATCCATCAGACTGTCACCTTCTCTATTCACCTTTAGGCGCACCCTGAAAACCCATCTCCTCAGTGAAGCCTACCCCGCCCTCAGCTAATTGCCGATCTCCTCCACTCTTCCTACCACTCCATCCCCCACAGCTATTTCCTCCTGTACCACTCTCCCCTCCCTCCTAGATTGTAAGCTCCAAGGAGCAGGGCCCTTGAACCCCTTGTGTATTGAATTGTATTGTTACTGTACTGTCTCCCATTATAATGTACAACACTGAGCAAACTGTTGGTGCTATATAAATACTGTATAACAATAATAAATCCCTAATTCACATTCACACAAAGACATACAGGGGCCAATTTTAGACTGGAGCTAATAACCCTACCAGCAAATACTTGGAAGTGTGGGAGGAAACCGGAGTGCCCGGATGAAACCTATGCAGGCACTGAGAGGACATCTATATATTTTTTTTGTTTTTTTAATTTTGCTTGATACACAGCGCTTAACAGCATAAGTACTGTATAGCTATTCACACAAGTCTTTGTTCACCAAAGTTTGTATTTATTATACAGGTGGACACTATCACTCTCTATTTTATACCTTCCAACTTTCTGAGATGAGAAAGTGTAACACCTTTTACCAGAATTTATTTATGTAGTGGATATACCCCCATCACACCCCCACTTACAGTATGTAGACCATTAAAAATGTATTGGTCAAAAATTAAAGGTTAAACCCAGAATTCTTTTTTTGTCCATCATTAATTTTCCTTTATTTTGACATTTTAAAAGAACAAACAAGATAATTCAGAGATAAGATGAAACTTTTAGTTCAGAATAACACTTTGGTAGTTAAATGGTACATTTTCATAGATACCTGTATATCAGACCAAAAAAGAGGGACAACTGAGAAGAAAAGAAGGACAGAGGGATTTGGCTGCAAAAGAGGGACAGTCCCTCCAAATCAGGAAGAGTTGGGAGTTGTGATTTTTGCCTGACATCTCAAAAGCTGTTAGATGTGGTGGATGAATGATTTATTTATTACAGGTACTTTTATTGCACCGTCAATTTACACAACATTTTACATATATTTATTATACATTCACAGCAGTCCCTGTCCTCAAGGAGCTTACAATCTAAAGTCCCTAACTCACATTCATGCATACACATACTAGGGCAAATTTAGAACAGAGACAATTAACCTACCAGCATGTTTTTGGAGTACCCGGAGGAAACCCACCCAGGGAGAACATGCAAACTCCATGCAGGTAGTGCCCGAGGTTGGGATTTGAACCAGTGACTCTGGTGTTGTTATGAAGAAGGGCTAACCACTTAGCCACTGTTGTAGTTCTCTGCTGTGTTCCCTTTTAATTGCTCTACAAATTTCTCTATTTCATACAGTAACAAAAATCTGCAAAATCAAGCATGAAAAATGTGAAAATAACATTATACATATAGCTGCTGCAATAATAAATCAAGATATGTACTGGATAATATGCACTATACTTACTTTTTAGGTATTGTGGCTTGCACTCTGGAACATCTGCTGTTCGATGAGAGGTACTGGTTGAATTCTGCACTAGTAGAAGACACAGAAGTACAAGTATCTGTAAACCAGGATGAACTGGCAACACTGTACCTTGGTCTCCTCCTTCAAGAAGGTATAGTAAACCTACAGTATATCACATTTGTGTAAGCCTTCTGTAAGCTTCTGATTATAATTTACAGCCCTCTACAGTGAATATCAGATATACAGCTGCAAGAAAAGGTATGTGAACCCCTTTGGATTACGTGGAGTTTTGCATGAATTGGGCATAAAATGTGCTCTGAACGTCATCCAAGTCACAACAATAGAAGAACACAGTCTGCTGAACATAATACTACACAAACATTAGATGTTGCCATGGTTTAATTGCACATAACATGTAAACATTCACAGTGCAGGGAGGAAAAAGTATGTGAGGCCCTAGCTTAATGACTTCTCCCAGAGCTAATTGGAGCCAGGAGTGAGCCAACCTTGACTCCAATCAGGGTGATGATATTGGATGTGTTGCTGACAGCTGTCCTGCCCTGTGACTTAGATGACGTTCAGAGCACATTTTATGCCCAATTCATGCAAAACTCCACGTAATCCCAAGGAGTTCACATACTTTTTCTTGCAACTGTATGTTTATTATTCTAATAGTAAATTAGGAATATGGATTTTATATGCAATATCTAAATTATTGAAAGTCAGCGTAGATACACAATAGTACAGGTACACAAATATTGTACCAGCAGCCTATTCCACCTGCAGGCCTGGTGTTTTGCTCTTGGAATTATGCTTTATGACAGTCTCCTTTTATAACATTGTAAAAAGGACTGCACGCACATGGTTCCTGTCACTGCAAGATCAAGAGATGTTACTTGCTCATCCCCTGGACTATACATGACAAGGCAATTATGGAGCATTATGCGATACATTGCCTCGTTTCAGAAAAAAAGGATACAAGAGTGTCCAAAATGTTTAACCAATTTGATGAAGTTCTAGTAAAAGAAAAAAAAACAAAGCATTTCTGCAAGTTTCAAATGTTTTGAAAAAAGTTTTTGAATGACTTAGGCTGCCTTTGGTTTTGTGAGTTCAGAAGCAGCAGTGGTTTACTTTGTTAATCAAGGTGCTTCCTTAAACCGAAAATAAATGGTTTTAATGGTACTTTATGAAACAAGGCACTTTTGTGTATGTAGGGCAATGCTGATGAGTATAGTATGTGATTCTATGTGCTGATGAGTATATACAGTATGTGATTCTATGTGTAATCTTATAAACTGTAGGGTGCTTTTATGCTCGAGCTGTGGTTCATGATGCCGGAGCGCAGGTGGATGATGGAAAGTCGGAATTCCTTGCAGTATCTATGAATGATGTGGTCTATGTGAAGGACATCGGTGATGAGTCATCATGGGAAGGACAGTCTCTGAGTACAGGAGAGCGTGGATTATTGCCCATTATAGCAGTGGAGCCACTGCCTCATCCTTTCTACCAGTAAGTGTTCTACCACATTTCATGGATTATAATATACAAAGAAACATAATATTTTATTGTGACTTGCTGTGAAACACTAGCTAAAAATGATCAATCCATGGCCAATTTATGACTTGGAAAGGGAAAAAGCAGGAGAGTAAAAAAGTGACTACATTTATTTAAATTAAAAGGGTTCTAAAGTTAAGACAATTTTTACCTTAATGTATTCCCTGCATTAAGGTAAAAAAAAGGTCTCAGTAGTTGTATTGCCCCCACACCTCCCTAAGTACTTACATGAGTCCTTTCTCGTTCCAGCGCTATGCTGCTTGTTTGCAATGAGATTCTCTCTCCTTCCACTACTCATAGGACACAGAGGCAGCAGCGTTAGCCATTGGCTCTTTTTGCTGTCAATCCTTTGAGGAGGGAGCAAGGGGCGGGGTCCAGCCAGGCTGTGTGTATCTATGGATGCACACAGCCTGGCTTGGGAGTGTACCCACACCAGTGCCCCTATAGCAGCCGGCTTGCTAGGGAAGGCACTTGCAGAAGTGGAGAAGGGGAGGGCACCATTGGGAAACCCCAGAAGAGGAGGTAAGGGGCCTTTCTGTGCAATACCAGGTAAGTATAACTTCTTTTTTCTTTTAGGAAAAAAATGTGCCTTTATAATCATGCTAAGAAAAATAAATGAATATGTTTTAACTGAGATTTTTTTTCAGTTTTAGGAAACGCCTCTAATCACCATTTACATATAAATGAGTCAGTAAACTCCAAAAAGACTAAATCCCTTTCTCTTAACAAAAAACTTAAATAAAATTAAATTTTGCCGTTTTTCTGGAAGATTGCTTTATATTCAATATATTATTGAATTGGATGGATTCGAATAGGTACGATTTGATATTTTCAGACGCTGGTCCAACCCACCAAGAGAAATGGCATGAACTGGCGTTATGTGCATCTGAATTAATGAATGGAACAAAATTCAGATCCATTCATTATCTGAATCCGAATTATGGAATTAATTTGAAAATTGAATTAATTTCCCCATGGCCTCAAACTACTATCACTTCACGTGACATCATCTGAATGAAACAAATGCATTTGTTAATTTCATTATACCTTTTTTTAGGATTAGTTACCATTTGTTTCAGTATCCATTCAGAGATTCAGATACATTTGAATCTTCAAAAATGAAATTTTCCTCAGAGAAATGGATAAAAACAAGATGAATCGCACATGTCTACTGTTATTGTCTGTGAAGATTCTCATTTATCTAGGTCCTGGTATATCTAGTGGTAGTTAGCTACATTCAGCTGGACTTGTTCTCTAATGAAGTGTTGTAGCTTGTCCAAGCCACTTCTTAGGTTCTAAAAAGTGTCAGGAAGATACCTCATCATTTATATCATTTATATCCCTGTTCAATGATGGCTGTTCTAGTTTGATGTAGATGGACCCCTTCATATCTCTTGCAATCAATTTGTCCTCTCTGTCCAAAATGTGCATCCCACTGTCTTCCAAAAATATCCCCTTTTATTAAGGTGCCTCTTTGCCTTAACGCCACCTATTTCGAGTACAAGTATACCTTCTACAAACAGAAATATGGCTGTACTCAGGGATCACCTTTATCTCCCATTGTAGCTTACATGTACATGGAGGAGTTTTAGTAGAGATTCTCTAACTCTTTCAAAGGAAAACAACCAAGTCACTGAGTTAAGTGAGGGGAATCCCCAGTTTGATGGTGGTTATTGAATTGGATGTAAATAAAGAATAGGCAGCGCTCCAAAAAGCTAGCTTTTCAAATCTCATATATTTATGAAGGGAAGCTCCATTAAAGACATAACAATAAATTGTAGTACAAGATCTCCCCACAGTTCCTCTATCTACACCCTGTTCCAAATTATTATGCAAATTATATTTTTCTCATTTACCTAAATAATTGATGTAAATAACAGTCAGCATAATTCTCATGTTATCAACTATTAAGAGTACAATTCACATTTTATTGAACAAACCTCCTAATGATAACAGTATTTTTTTAAACATAAAACACTTCCAATGCACTGTTCCAAATTATTACGCACAGTAAGTTTCAAAACACTTTATAGGTTGTAAAAAACTGAAAAATGTCATTTGTTGTGTTTGCAGCATATTTACTTAAATAAAAAGCTATTTCAATCAAACTTTTAACAACATTTTAACTTTTTAAATATTTTAACAGGTCACGTTACATTTTAACATAGGACCCCTTATTTGATAGCAGCTTCACAAGTCTTACATCCATTGAACTTGTGAGTTTTTGGACAGTTTCTGCTTGAATTAGTTTGCAAGATGTCAGAATAGCCTCCCAGAGCTGCTGTTTGGATGTAAACTGCCTCCCTCCCTCATAGATCTTTTGCTTGAGTATGCTCCAAAGGTTCTCAATAGGATTGAGGTCAAGGGAGGATGGAGGCCACACCATGACTTTCTCTCCTTTTATCCCCATAGCAGCCATTGATGCAGAGGTACTCTTTGCAGCATGAGATGGTGCATTGTCATGCATGAAGATGATTTTATTACGGAAAACATAGTTCTTCCTTCTGTACCAGGGAAGAAAGTGGTCAGTCATACACTCCACATACTTTGCAGAGGTCATATTTACACCTTCGGGGACCCTAAAGGGGCCGACCAGCTCTATTCCCATGATTCCGGCCCAAAACATGACTCCACCACCGCCTTGCTGATGTCGCAGCCTTGTTGGAACAGGGTGGCCGTCCACCAACCATCCACTACTCCATCCATCTGGACCATCCAGGGTTGCACGGCACTCATCAGTGAACAGGACTGTTTGAAAATTAGTCTTCATGTATTTTTCTGCCCAATGCAGCTATTTCTGCTTGTGAGCATTGGTTAGTGGTGGCCGAATAGAATGTTTATGCACAGTTGCAAGACTCTGGAGGACTCTACACCTTGATTTCCATGGGACTCCAGAGGCACCAGCAGCTTCAAATATCTGTTTGCTGCTATGTAATGGTATTTTAGCAGCTGCTCTCTTGATCCGATGCATGGATCTGGCAGAAATCTTCCTCAATGTGCCTTTATCTGCACGAACCCGTCTGTGCTCTGAATCAGCCACAAATCTCTTAATAGTGCGATGATCACGCTTAAGTTTTTGTGAAATATCTAATGTTTTCATATCACATCCAAGGCATTGAACTATTTCACTCTTTTCGGCAGCAGAGAGATCCTTTTTCTTCCCCATATTGCTTGAAAATGGTGCTCTGCTTAATAATGTGGAACACCCTCCTTTAGTAGTTTTTCCTTAAATTGGGCTCACCTGCCAATCTAATTATCACATGTGTCCGAGATTGTTTTCAGTGATCAAAAGAGCCCTGACACACAATGCTATCCATGAGTAAAACTGAAAAACAAAATATTTAATCTTTGTGACACTTAAATAGAACTTGCATAATAATTTGGAACAGGGTGTAGATAGAAGCAGACTCAGCTACAAGCACCATATACTAAACGCACATTTGCATTAGAATAGGAAAGACATCCATGCAAAAAGTAGAGCAATTAACAAACATCAATATGCATGGTTAGAACAGGGAGGAGATCCCACTTAAGAACGGGGTCTTTACCCTGAACCATTGTGATTCTCACCTGCACCTGATCCTGAAATTCCACATGCCAGCTGAAGGTACTTTCTGCTACCTATCCATGTGTATTCATGCTTATTTTTGCTGTACTTTTAGCCTGGATCGCCTCCATGTTCTAATGAAAATGTAAATCATGCTTGTAGCTGAGTTTGCGTCTGTCGCGACAGAGAAACTGTGGGAAGATCTTGGCTTGTACTACAATTTATTGTTATGTCTCTATATGATGCTTGCTTTCATAGATTAGATGAAATTTAAAAAGCTAGCTGCTTGGAGTGCTGTCTATTATTTATTTACAGTGTAGTATTCCTAGGTTTTCCTTGAGCAAACCTAATCCATGGTATAACACCTGCATTTATCTAATTAGTGCTGATGTTCTGATTTGGGTGTTCATTATTTTAATTTTTGTTTTACCAATTCAAAACAGGTGTCCCCATTATAAGACTTCCCTTCTCTTTCTGTTTTTGGTAATAACAGTCACCAGGGCAGGGATTGACAGTGAATCTTCTACTTTAAAGTGGTTCTAAAGCCCCCCCCTTGCTTACCCAAGCGCCATCTTGATCCAACGATCTACATAAGAGCGGCATCTCTCCCAAGTATCTCTTTCCTCATTGGCTCTCACAATCACAGCCAGTGAGGCAATAAAGAAAGAGCAGGGGGCTGGGCCAATTTACACTCTGTATGTGAATGGACAATGTCAATTCACAGGAATGTGTCTTGGGAACGAGTCTGCATGAGTGCCCCCATAGCAAGAGGCTTACTATTTCTATTGGGGGCACATGGCAGGGGGAGGAGCCAGGACCTCTGGTGGGAGACCCAAAAAGAAGAGGATCGGGGATCCTCTGTGCAAAACTGTTGCACAAAGCAGGTAAGTATAACGTGTTTAAATCTCCCAATAGTTATGCACTCAGTGATAGTAGGTAATGCTGCACACTATGTCCTGGATACAGGAAAAACAAAATAATAAACAGAGTGTGCAAAACTTCTGATCATAAAAATTACAATAAAAATAAACAATAAAGTGATACTGATAACATTATCATCAATAAATAAAACAACCAATACAGTGGAAAAATAAAAGCATATTTAGTATAAATCAAACAATGATATATTAGAAATGAAAGTCCAATCCTAAAGGGATATACAGGGCTCTACTAGAGGGCCAATATAAATAATCTTGTGTGAGAATGAGATGTCACCCGGGTGCAGTCCGCACCCCCATAATGATGCCACAGTTCCACATACTTCAATCCCAACAGCTTTCGACATAGATATATGAATTCCCATGCGAGATAACCAGCATCTCCATATTATAAGAGATCACTAGTGCAGGATGCACCAAATATGAATCCCACCAGGATATGGTAACAACCTCCACACCCTCCAGGTCCTCTGCTGGCAGTCCGGAAAACGCAATTCTCCGCAGTAAGATTCAGAGAAAAAAGAAAGGATCATATCGCAAAGACTACCAATTTATTTCATACAAATATATGCTGTACTGCAGCGTGATGTTTTTGAGCTTTTGTTACCTTGAAATGCTTGTGAGTATATTTGCATTAAAAATAAATTGGTGTTTCTAGCGATATTACTCTATGGTCCTTTGTTTTTGGACCTGGTGGGTGTGGAGGTTGTTATCATACCCTGGTGGGATTCATATTTGGTGTATGCTGTGCTAGTAATCTCTTATAATCTGGAGATCCTGGTTATCTGGTAAGGGAATTCATATATCTATGCCTGAGGTGGTTGGGACTGAAACGTGGAACTGTGGCATTTCATTTTCACACAAGATTCAACACTGGCCCCCTAGTGGAGCCCTGAAATATATTCTTTTGGGAGGGGACTTTCATTTTCACACAAGCTTGTTTATATTGGCCCTCTAGTAGAGCCCTGTATACCCCTTTGGGATTGGATTTTCATTTCTATTATATCATTGTTTGATTTATACTGAATAAGCTTTTATTTTTTCACTATATTCCTGGTTTTATTTATTGATGCTGATATTATTTGTATCACTTTATTGTTTATTTTCACATGTGATTTTTATGGTCAGAGGTTTTGCTCCCTCTTTTTGTTTAATATTAAGTATAACATGTTTGTTATTTTTTAAAAATTACTACCTGACTTTAAATTACTGACTTTAAATACTGTTAAACGCTTTATACCTGCATCAACATCATTACTAAAGATAAAGACACCTGTTAATTAACAAGGGCTAAGAGCTAACTATGTTTTATTTATTCTCTCTAGATGGTTTCTGAAAGTGTACCCTATATCCTGTAATGTGACAGAGCAGAACTGCCGTAACATCACATCTCAGCCAATAGGTAAAGTTCTTTCCCGAAATACACACAAACATCCTATTGTTTAAGTTACTCCTATCAATTATAGTCAACACAATCCTACTATTGTACTGAACTGTGGATTTAACTCCGTTCATAAATGTAATGCTTATATAATAAATTATAAAAACCTGTTAAAGGCTTACAGGAGACTGAAGAAGAATTTGCTGTTGGTGTGGAATGCACTCACTCTATACTTTTATCAAAAATTAAATGCAATACTGTATAGTGGATTTGAAATTGTTAGATTTATTTAGAGCACATTGCAAAATATTAACTTTGTTCAAAAATATCCATTCAGAAATGGCTGATATGTAACAGGAGCTGTTTACTTCTTATGGTTTTGTATATCTTCTGATACTCGCCTTTAGCCTGTGTCTAGGATACAGAGAGATACAGGGACTGGTTTACTGTGAATAAAGCTGGAAAGAGACCCATGCAACGTGTGTACCAGAATTCTCTCCATAAAGCACTGACTGTTATATTTATTCCTCTAAATAATGTAAATATTCAGCCCTGCTTTTATAACATTCAGTACATTTATTCTTTAATTTAAAATGTGGGTGGTGGTTTCCTGTCATGGTGTGAGCGAACCACCTAAGACATTTTGTACCTTGAAATGCCAGGGCATTACAGTATATGGATTCTGGCATTCTGTCAGCTTTTGGCTGTTCAATGCAGTCTCAGGCAGGTGAGCTGCCATTTATTCATCTTTGTATTCTGTGTTTTCCTGGTCTTTAGTCAAGTCTGCACATAGCAAAGTCAGAGCTAGGCATTCACTCTGGTTCTTGTGGCCAGTAAACAACCAACAATGTATTGCTAATGCCATTCATATTCTATGGTATAAGAGAGTTTTAAGCTGGCCATAGACAAGTAGTTTATTTTTGTTCAGCCAGTGAAAAAAAAATGTGTTCCTCCATCTAAACAAGCCATGTGGATGGAGGAATTGCCCCCGTTGGGACATGTTCTTCCTACATCGGGACTCACCACTGTGAGAATACTCTGATCAGCATGCTTCCAGTGTGCTCCAGCAAACAAAAACATTCAACAAAAGATCAAACTTCTGTCAAGCGGGGACAGCCACGCGGATTAAAATTTGGAAGGTCGCTGCTGAACCAGCTGAATTTTGATCCATCTATGGATCAAAATTGACAGCTCAAAATAGAACCCACCACTATAAGACACTATCAGCTATGGTGCAGAGCCTAAAGTGTTAACATCAGATAATGGCAAGTTGGCTGATTAAGATGCAACATTTAATTAGAATTATTAAGTAAATCACAGAGTATTTAGAACAGTCAGAATGTCCCTTTTATAGGTTCATGATTCTACTGGTATGAAATTATTCCACTGGTATCCAGGAATCTGGCCCCTAAGGCTTGCCTCATCCAAGCCCAAGAAGGGATAGAACCTGAAGCTAGTTTTTTTAGCACAAATAGGCTTGCCAGTGGATCCTATGAAAATTAATGATACATATCAAGGGTAGTGTTGAGTGAGGTTGTTCCATCAGCTCAAAGAAAGATAAGTGTATCCTTCCAAAGGATGCTTAGAAGCTTTACTCTCTTCACGATCTCTAAATGTGTGAGAAAGTGGTAAATGGAAATGTATCCAGTGGTGTTGTTTCCTGAGCTCTGATGCCACTCATAGATTATAGAATTGCAATACTGAGACAACATGCAATTATTTAAAAATATATTTGTGCCAGTATGTTTTCTTTAAAGATACGTTGGTACAGCAATTAATTTAACAAGTATGATGAGCACATTTATGTACATTTGTGTTTTAACACCAATGCGCCATCTAGATCAGTGTTTCTCAACCTTTTTTCAGTCAAGGCACCCTTTAAAATTATGGGTAGTTTTGAGGCACCCTATAAAATTGACAGTCTTGAGGCACATCATTCTAAAATGTGGTGCCTCAAGACTGATCATCGTTTTAAGAGGGCACCCCATTCTAAAATATTAAAAACTATTCTAATAGTTTTAAATAACGCAGCAACATCCACACACGTTAGGACTCCCAACATTAGAGGTGATTTATTCTTCCAAAGCAAATGCACTTTTGTACACTGGTACTGCTTAGTATTTCAGTGTTTCTCCTCTCCCTCAGTTTTTACCTCCATTACTGATCTAATGTTACCCCAGCACTGATGGAGAGGGGCAAGGGAGGGTCAAACTAGGATGCTGTGCAGGCAACTGATATCCTTATTATCTACTGATGATGTAATTGGTTGCCAGGACGCCGGTGGCTAGAAGGTCGTAATGGTGCACAATGAAAACCTGTGCCTTTGTGTAACTAAAAGGCAGGCTTGTTCCACCTGCTGGCATGTATACAAGTTTTGGGCAATTTTTAGATATTTTGCCAAGGCACCCCTGAATAAACATCAAGGCACCCCAGGGTGCCTGGGCACTCTGGTTGAGAAAGGTTGATCTAGATGGTGGACTCCAGCTGTTTTACTGGTTGAAGTGCAGTCAATTTACATTTATAGCAACATGTCTCAATTTATATGTGTATTTCTATAATAAAATAAACTGAACCCCTATTGTTTTACGTTTTTTTTTTCCGCTCCACCCCTAAATTGCTTTGCAAGAGGCATAACTCTGGATATAAATAGTTTATGCAAATCATGTACATTAATTAATAATAACATAATTTAAAGAAAAAAAGAAAATCAGTATATCATTTAGAGCAGAGGTCTCCAAACTTTCCAAGCAAGGGGCCAGATAACTGTCCTTCAGACTTTGTGGGGGCCAGACTGTGGCCAATGTGAGCAGAAAATGCTCTGGGGGTAAACAATGCCCATCACTGGTATCAGTGGGAGGAATAATGCCCTATTGCTGGTTTCAATGGGAGGAAAGTTGCTTCTTTGTTGGTGTCAGTGGGGGAAAAAATGCCTTTTATCAGTGGCAGGAATAATGCCTCAAGGGCCGGATAAAGGGAAACAAAGGGCCACATCCGACCCTCAGGCCACAGTTTGGATACAACTGATTTAGAGGATTTGAGCTATACTTTATATAATTATGCCTGGAATCTATAATCCAGTTGAGGCATATAGAAATATAACTGCTTGATCAGTTAGATAAATGTTTCAAGTGACTCCATTTAATGTTTATATTTTCATTGAAAAATCTGTAGTAATAATCTCTAGTCATTATTTTTATTATACTCTTAATTCCCATGATACATCAAAAGCTGGGGGGAGCCTACACTGACTAGAGTTATAATAGTTTCATATTTCATGCACTCAGCATATATTTTAGGAGAGATATGACACTCCTTGTAGCATATTTTGAATTAAGTAGGGAATGCTTTGTCAGTTTTTTTATTATATTATTTCATTTTTGCTGTCTGCATTCCCTTCAAGGCTGACCATACATGGGTTAAAATTCAGCTGGTTTAGCAGGAACTGGTGAAATTTCATTCCATTTTTGGCCATTCCTGTTCATGAGAAGTCGATCTATTGGCTACCTTTCAACTTCCACTTCTTCATTATTCGGGTTTGCTGGTATATTTTTTTTATTTGATCAGTTCATGCAACCAAATAGCTGCTGTGCTAATCAGTGTATTCTGATGGCAGGTGAGTGCTGTTGTCTAAACGAGCAGCAGGGAGGATTCCATCATCTACTTCAAATGTGTGAATGGGTTCAGTTTTTTTCATTCAGCTGACCATGGCTTTTAGCCTGCCCTTGACTTTGACAGGCTGCAGGCAGTGGGGCTGGATGCTGCATCCTTGCCACCAGGCAGCACTAAAGCATTAGGATTAGATGCACATAGGCTGAACGCCCAGTATGCAAGGGATCCAAGCAGTGGCGGACTGACAACTCATGGGGCTCCCGGGCAATAGGGGATCATGGGGCCCCTGTGTCCTTGCCCAAACTCAAAAAGCCTATGAAAAAAGTACCAGGGGCATCTCATGGGGCCCCCTACTGACCCCAGGTCCTCGGGCAGTGCCCGAGTTCCCAAATGGTCAGTCCGCCCCTGGGTCCAAGACATATAACCACATATTCCTTATATGCAGAAAGAAATCTGTGACTAGCAACTATCCTGAGGTCTGACTTCAGCCCTTGGTACTTGTCTGTTAATTCACCGGATTTATTTATTTATATATATATTCCATACTGGGAACTTCACAGATTATGCCCCATTCACACTGCAGTGTCAAATTTGCATTTCTACATGCATATAAATACAGGTAATGATTTTTCAGGAGTGTTATTCAAACTTAGCATTCGCCTGCGTTCAAGCTTTGCTGCATTTAAAAAAAAATACAATTCTATGCATCTAGGATCAGAATCTCTAAATGCACTTAAATGCATGTAAATGCATCTTAAACAATATGCATCTGCCTAAACGCAATAAAACTGATATGGGAAGCATAAACGTTGTTTATACTTCCCAGAGAATGTCTCTTGTGTTCAAAAGAGCTAAACACAGAAATGCAAGTGTGAATGTAGCTTTAGTTTTCTAGGTTTTTTTTTTTGCCTTTGGCAAGAAAATATGGCAATATTCTAATGTTCAGGCCATGTAGACTTCCATGGGTGCCTTATTATTGAAGTCTGTGTTAAGCCGGCCATACATGGGTCGAATTTGAATTTCGCACTATTAGTGGGCCACAGCAATGACTGATTTTTGAGTGACCACCAAATTTGAGTTATCGAACATGTTGGAATTAAAAAAAAAAATGAACAAATTTTTAAGCAATCATGGGAGAATCGTGTGAGTAATGCAATCAAAAAAATGTGCATGAGCTGTGACCTGGAAAGAAAATTCTTGGCCACAAAAATTCTTTTCTGTAGCAATATGAAATGAAATTAAGGGCTTGGTTGGTCGAATTTCAAAATCAATGGTGGCACCATCGGATTGCAAAATTGCAACATTTCTGATTTTCTAAAGAAAATTCATTTGGAATTCAACCCATGTATGGCCTGCATTAGGACTATTTTGTTACAGCTGTATCGATTATGTAACAAGCAGCTGCTAAGAAGGGAAAGGGGAGGGAGACCCATAAATCTATTGGTCTCACACCCTGCTACTCAGTTTTACTGGTGCCATACCCCTTATTATAAGGACACCGAAAAAATAGAAAAATCCTAACCAGAATGTAACTACTTGGGCTTTTAATATTTTAAAAAGCCAAAACTTCATTATACATTGTTAAACACCATGATTGTAGTACATAAACTGAACATCAAAACAGCTCTATTAATAAAAACATATGACCATTGTATATTGTAACTATACAGACATCAGGCATTTTTTAAATCGCTCCAAAATTGCATGTGTAGTACATAAGAACAACATATATGTATTTATAGCTCCTATGTAATTCCTTGTAGGTTTTCTCTAATGTGTTTCCCAGGACAAAAGCCTGCTTCCTTAGGGAGATTTAACATACTCTCGAGAGATGGTATCTGTTTTTTCATGAAGTAACCAGAAAGCCATGATCACTCAAATTTAGGAAGGACCTTTCCATCAAAGATTGTAAAAAATGTGTATCAAATGGACAATTAAATTTAGCCAGTCCTGCCAAAATTAGTGACCCTTCAAGCCACAGGTTTCAGTCTCCATAAATTTCCAAGAGTGGTAAATGGTAAATCTAGTGGTATGTATGTATGTATATATATATATATATATATATATATATATATGTATTAAGTAGGGGAACTCAAGCTTATGCTTAAAATTTTACTAAACCCAACAGTAAAATTGAGTCTGTATATGCAGTAAAGCATGCTTGATATACTTACTGTGGAACATAAGGGGTTAATCCTCCGCACTGTGTAAAAATACTGTGTGATCCTGACTTCTCTGATCCTCCCCTACTTCCAGTGCCCCACTCTTATCTCCTGATAAGACATATTATGTGGAGACACTCTGCACATGCTCAGTTTGGTGTGTATTGCTAGAGTTTTTTTTTCTTGGGAGAGTGCATGTGATCAGCACAGGGTCAATCAGCATTGTACAGAGAGAGGTCAGGGTTTCTGCATCCTCCTAGAGCAGAAAGAAAACTTCTAAAAGCATTAACCAGTGCTCTGCTGGACACTGATAGAAGTCACAAGACTGCTCTAACTGCTGATGAGAGAAAGTATTTAGCAGTTTATATTTACTAAAATAACTGCATTTCCATTTTTTGTGTACTGTGGGAGACCAATAGGAAGAAGGGTCAGCCGCACACCGGAGGATAGATGAATATAGTGTGTATTTATTGATCCATAGGACACACAAAACACCAGGACATCAATACAGGACTGTTAACGCGTTTCACAGGATCTCTTGCTTAATCATAACAAAGAAAACAACAAAAGTGCTGTCTTATATAGGTATTAGTTAATAAAGAACACCTGTCCTAATCAGCACTCCTGAATCCTGAGGGTACGCCTAATACATTGTAACAAGACATATAAAACCATTGTATCAAAAGTAGTGATCTCAGAGAACAACAAGAAAGGAAGAAAAGAAAAAAGGAAAGTGAAGTGGAATAAAAAGATAAACAAAGAAAGAGAAAAAAGAATAATGGATAAAAATAATTGTGAAAAAATAATTATGAAAAAATTATAAATGAAAAATAGAATAACAAACACAGATAAAAGTGAGTAAATATCCCAAGAAGATATGGGCTAAGAAACCACATTTGTAAATAATCAAAATTTAAATAAAAATATATGCAAAAAACGCATACAAAAACAAAAAAAAACAAAACGCATGTCTACTTGGGATAAAATACAAAAAAACCCCACAAAAAACCGTATGGGAGACCAGATATAGTGAATGCAGGGTCCTGAGTTTAGTAACAAGCAGGACTTTCTCCAAGGCACTCCACCCACAATGCATTTAAAACATGCAGATGTAACAGAATCTTAAAGTGTAACTAAAGATAAAGCATTTTATTTTCATTTTACTGCATTATACTGCTTTGTCCCATGTGCATTGTAGAAACATTCTGAATTTATAATATACAAGTGCTAAATGCATTTTAATATATAAATGGTAAAATACAACATGTGCAACAAATGGGGATATTACAGCATGCTCGAACACAAGTTGCACACATTGCTTACAAGTGGTAAGAGACCCTATTCTATTAACTTGATGGTCAAAAATGCATTAAAGTAGAACTGAAGGTAAAACTTTTTTTTTCAATTTCTTGTTCAAACATTATATTGGGTTACAGGAATGTAGAACATACAGCAGGATACAACAAACGGTATCATGTATGTAGCATAAAAGAGCATGAGGCCCAAGGCCTTAGAGCAACTGTATGCTTATTACAAACTTAATAAACTTAATAAAATAACCAGAAAAAAAGGGGGGGGGGGGAGAAGGAATAGAAAAATGAAAAAAAAAAGGAGAGGGGAGAGGGGAAAAGGAGGCAGGTAGGATGTGTGACTTCCAGGATGGGAAGGAGGAAGCGGGACCAGTGTTCCGGAGCAACTTCCAGGGTAAGGAGGTATTAAGGTAGAAGCAGTGATTCATCGAAACCCTGGGGGAGGAAGTGATCGACCCATGGGGACCAGATCGATAAAAATTTGGGAATTGTGTCTGTGATGGTTGCTTCCACTTTAGCGTGTATCATGGCCTGTATCACCTTATTCCAAACCTCCTGTATGTTAAGTGATGAGGTTTTCCAAGATTTTGCTATAACGTGCTTAGCAGAGGTTGTGACCTGCAAGAGAAGCTTAAACTGGGTTTTAGAAATAGAGGGGGGTCGGAAATTAAGCAAGGCGATGTCTAGAGTTGGCACAAGTGGTTTTTGAAAAAGGGTAGATAACATGTGGAAGATACCATCCCAGAAGGTGTGGGATTTCTTTTTTTCAATTTCAGAATAGTTCTAACCCCTGTCAGTTCTTTTTTGCCACCTGTGTCACATTGGGGAGATTTCCCCTCACTTTGTCATAGCCAAAACAAGAAGTGAGAAGAAAGCAATCCAAAGTTGGGGAATCTCGGTGTGTCACCAGGATCACCAGAACTAGAGTCCCTATTGGAAGATTTCCCCTCTATTACTGTTCTGGTGTTAACTCAAAATTTGGGATTTTTTTTTACTTTCAGTTTCAAGAATGGTAAACAGGGCCAATAGAGAGGGTGAATCTCCCTAGTAGGGGCATGGACAGCAATAAAAACTGGCAGGTGTTCTAATCTCTCTCCAATCCAAAACTAAAAAAAAAACTTTTGGCTTTAGTTATACTCCAAAGTAGAACAATAGGCAAAACTTTTTATTTCATTTTGGATAGAGTAAGGGATGGTTATAACTCATGTCAGATTTTTCTCTGCCATCTGTGTCCCATTGTGGAGATTTCCCTTCACTTCCTGTCCTTTAGCAAAACAGGAAGTGAGAGAAAGGCCCTGCAAATTAAGGGAATTACATGGAGATCCCCAGGTCCCCAGAACTAGAGTCCCTATTGGAAGATTTCCCCTCTGTTACTTTTCTGGGGACAACCCAAAATTTCGGATTTTCTTTTACTTTCACTTTTAATAATAATGGTAAACAGGACAAATAGAGAGGATAAATCTCCCTAATGGGGGCACAGACAGAAATAGAAACTGACAGGGGTTCGAATTTCTCTCCACTCTATCCAAAACTAAAAAAAAGTTTTGCCTTTAGTTATACTTTAATGATTTTATTGATATGTGCAAATAAGTTCTGTAAAATCAGTATTGTATTCAGTAGTATTAAATCTGTCCACTTTATCCTTGTAAACATGCTCATTCTAAAAACTATAAAAGGCTTGAATTATTATTATTGGCAAAATAAACAATATATAATAAAGGCATGCGCTAAATAAAATATATATCCATATTTATTAAATGTCCATAATCACTCAAATCAAAAAACAAAAAATTTTTTTTTAAATATATATCACTCATAATTCATATATCAGCATAATTAAATATCCATAATTAATTTGTGAAAATTTCAAAATTACATTTTTTTTTATAATGAAAATATATATGTCTCCTCTGTGAATTCATAAATTTGTGAATAATCCACCACCAGATAAATTAGATGAACTCACCAGAGCTATATGCTGCTCAGATTATAGAACAGCAATAACGCTTTTGCTCTGGGAGCGATGGGTAAACGGTATCCAGGTGATAATTGTAGTAACTTTTCAATCACATCCAGGTAAATACTAATGGTAGACATATATTTTCATTATAAAAAAAAATTTTAATTTTGAAATTTTCACAAATTAATTATGGATATTTAATTATGTTGATATATGAATTCACGGAGGAGTGATATATATTTAAAAAAAATTTTTTTGTTTTTTGATTTGCACAAATTACTTATGGACACTTGATTATGTTGCACAGAGTGATTATGGACATTTAATAATATGGATATATATTTTATTTAGCGCATGCCTTTATTATATATTGTTTATTTTGCCAAAAATAATAATTTTTGGTTGGGTTTTGCTGCTATCATATAATTCTATTGGGATATAGTGTGGCACTTTTTTCTATTTTGATTTGGTATAAAAGGCTTGAGCATGGATCCGCAAACCTGATCGATTTCTGTGTGTGAGAGATAATAATGATCACTAAAGTACTTAAGGAGATAAACTCTGAGTGAAGGCAAAAAAAATCCTGCAGGTCAAACCTAAAATTGAAGTAAATGAAAATCATGAAAAAAACTACTTTTTTTGATTGAGATGTAGAAGAGAAAATTGTAAAAATGTAAAGGTAACCTTATACACTATTTTAATTTTCATATCCTATTGTACTCCAGGGTCAGGGCAGTGTACTGCAAGAGAAAGTCATACAGCAACAGAATGGGATGAACTGAGCTACTGCAGGGGAGATGCCATTGAGGTTGTTGGTTTCTTTGTGCCTGGACTCAAGTGGTTTGTTGGAAAGTGTCCTTCAACTGGAGTGATTGGTTTTGTTCAGACAAGGCACGTGGATCCAAACTGTTTGAAAGCATTGTAAGTACTAGAGCATACTGTTACCTAAATAACAGTGGATTGTTTTTTCCATGCAGGTCTATATTTGTGCACAGACTTATTTGTATAGAAATTGTTAATGCATCCCCTGAACTACAAGATAGGTAAAAAACATATCAAAAGCCAAGTCGAGAATGATTGAAACCCCTGTCAGTTTTTTATTTATTAATGATTATTTTGCCATTATGACCAGTAGCGTAGATCTCAATTTGTTGTCTGCCCTAGACACAACAGAACATTTCTTCAAAGTGAGGGAAATGTATTTTATTTCAGGTACTTATATAGCACCATCAATTTACACAGAACTTTACATATATATATTGCACATTCAGTCCCTAACCCTCAAGGAGCATACAATCTAACGTCCCTAACTTACATTCATACATACACATATTAGGGCCAATTTAGATATGATATAATTAACCTACCATCGTGTGTTTGGAGTTGGGAGGAAACTGGAATACCCAGAGGAAACCCATGCAGGCACAGGGAGGACATGCAAACTCCAGGCAGGTGGTGCCATGGTTGGGATTATAAACCAACGACCCTAGTACTGCCAGGTGGAAGCGCTAACCATTTAGCTGCCCAACTTATACATTTGTCACTGGAAAAGGTGACCCAGTTGAATGATTTCCCCTCTATTCCTGTTTTTGGATTTCTCGTTACTTTCAGTCCTGGTGACAATAGTGAGATTCAGCCCACCCAAATCAGATAGCTCAGTTGCGGGTAATGTGTATGCTGCTATGCTGAATCTTCTCTTTGCTTCTTATTTGTTTGGTACTCTGAAAGTAGATTCTCTAGGTTGGGGGTGGACAACCCATCGATAGCGATCAGATGGCTGGTAGATCGTGCTGTTGGCTTGCCAACCCACCATCTGCAGAACCTCAGACACAATGGAACCTCAGGAAAAGAAATGGGACTATATATACACTTGGAGCCGGCTTGTGCTGGCTGTGGAGAAAGCAGATGGCTGCATCTGCAGCTTCTGCTTCTCTAGTTCCAGCTGCAGGCAGAGTGATATCACCTGCATCTGCCTCTCTGCATCCTTGCATTAGTTGGACCGGAGTCAGCAGCAACTGCAAGAGGCAAAGTAGAAGTGTACTGGCAGTGAGCTCTTTTCCTGTAATAGCTTCAAGCTGTTTTTTCAGGTCAGTGTGTCTTACAAGTGAAGCCTACACACAGTACTAAACAGGTGTCATCAAGGGCATAATACCATCTATAACAGAGGAAGAAACTGAGGACTCAGGACAGTAAGGACTTGTTAGCAGTTTGGGAGGCAGTAAAACCATTGTTGAGCCCTTTTTCTGTCACCCTTTCCCAAACCGCACATGCGTTGCAGTGGCAATTTTGCTAGAGACCAAGTGATGCTGCCCACCTCGGAGGATTTATTTAGGAAGCATCTTCAAAACAGGGAGTGGCATTCTTGAGAGAACCTAAATCAATGTGGGGATAGCCAGGAAGGGATAGTTAGTAAGGAGGAGCATCCAGGACACAGAACGAACTGCTATCCTGTTGCAGTACTTCACTGACTTCCAGTGCTAGAGAGGGACTGCAAACACACCTGCTTGGAACTGTGTGGCTGCCACATTGTAGTACTAGTAAGAGATTAAAGCTAACCATAAATGGAACAAAATTCAGCTGGTTCAGTAGAGACTAGACAAATTTCTTTTCTTGATACTGTTCATGAGCCGCTTTCAAATGGGCTTGTTGGAAAGTTTTGCTTCGATCAATGCTGCAGCTAGTTGGCTGCAGCACTGATCAGTATATTCTGACAGTGAAGGAGTCCTGCTGTCAGAATACAATGACACAGCAGGGAGGCTTCCCCCATTCACTTTGATTGTGTCTTTGGGGGAATCTGTTTCGCTTTTTTGATCATTCCGCTGACCTGTTGCCTCATCCTGATGGCCAAAACCAGACCTGCAAACTGCAAATGCTGATAACTTGTGCAGTAACCCTTGGTACTGCGTAGCTGCTCGGACATGGAGGCCATGTGTTCTCTGCACATTCACTCCTTCAGGAGTGGTGGGAGGCCTCGCAATCTTCTGGATATTTTGCATTATTCATACAGTATAGTGCTCCAACTAGACAGCTCAGGGCCCAAACTCCAGCCAACATTGCACATAGTCTACTGGCCAGTTAGACACTTTCAGAACAAGCAGTATAGGTCTGTCTTAAAATGCTAACACACATATCTTTGCCTGTGTTTTCTGCTGGGCTGTGACACCCATTAAAACATTTAAAATCCCTAATGTGTGTTATTGAGTGCTCAAGCATCCTCTAGAAGACAGAAAAGCCTGTTGTACCAGCAGCTTCTGCAGGGGCAGTTCTACATTTGTAAATGGTGACTACTGTAATTGCTTACCGTAGTTCCTTTCTTGTAACACATTGCTGTTCCCCCTTCAATACACATCTCCTTAAAACAAATGGACCCTTTGAATGCTGAACAGGAATGCTAAGCGATTGTTCAAAGATACACATAGATACCTAGGAAAAATCCACAAATCTGTATATGAAATATAGTAATGGCAACGTGGTATGACAAGTATTTAAAAGTGAATGTAACAGTGAAACACTTATTATTATGGTAGTAAGAATAATTTATTAATATGTTATTGATAACTTAAAATACAGTATGTGCTCCTTAAAAATACAGAATAATTTCCCTTTAAATTAGTTTAAATAAGGTATGCTGAGTTTACCAAACTTTCTAGACAGGAGATAAGTGAGTAATTAAAAAATGAATTGTACAATATATCTTTAACAGTCTGTTTCTCCTGGTTCTTACCCGCTGCACTGCCATTATTTTTACGCAACGTAGTTCCTATTTGAGCTATTAAAAAAAAAAAAAAAAAGAGCGAAGCCCTTACCTCTAAAAAATGCCAGACTGGCATACCAGGCTTTTGGGATGGTACCCACACGGCAAGATAATGCATTCTTTCTACTATGCTGATATTCTATTCATTTGTAGATATTCGCTCGGTATCATTTATAAAAGCACTTTGTATTAGTGCACTTACATAAGTGTCATTTTCTCTGTGTTTTGTCTTAAAAACATAGCAAAAACAATATTTAAAGTAAAATGCAGTAAAATATGGCAGAGCACAGGTTAACAATGTGTGTTTTCATAAATTCGTAGGGTCAATTCAGTCTTATTTTTTTGTGTGTTGCATGGATTTCATAGGGACTGCCAAGTGAGGGGATGCAGTTGGCCACCTGGAATATATATTGCACAAAGATCTCTTTTTTTCTTTTTCTTTATTTCTTCGAGTTTGGTCATCTTCTGAAACCAAGATATACTGTAGGTTTAAAAGAAATATGATTTGCTTTAAAGTAGATTTCCAGGATTAACCTAACTAAAATGAAAAAAGCACCCTCCCCATGTAACACCTATGATGACTAACCTGTGTAAACATAATGTACATACTTACCTATTTTCAGGCTACTCTAGTCCAGACACAGGATTGTCTCTGTGTCAGCCAACAGTGGCTGAAGAAGACAGGAGAGAACACTCGACAATTACTGGCAATGACTGGGTGTGACGATGTCATCCATAGTCTTCCTATGGTCCATCTGTTATCAGCGCTCACTCCTCTCCCCTGCAGCCATTGCTTGCTGATATGGAGAAGCTGGATCACATGACTGGACCGGGTTAGTCAGCATAGAAGCTAGGAGGAGGGTGGGAGCAATTTTAAGAATAGTTACCGTATTTTTTGCCGTATAAGACGCACCTGACCATAAGACGCACCTAGGTTTTAGAGGCAGAAAACAGGAAAAAAAAAATTCTGAACTAATGGACTGCAGACACAGTACAGAGATGAACAGAGACTGCGGACAGCACAGGGATGACCAGAGACTGCGGACAGCACAGGGATGACCAGAGACTGCGGACAGCACAGAGATGACCAGGATGACAGCCAGAGATGACCAGAGACTGCGGACAGCACAGGAGATGACAGCACAGGGATGACCAGAGACTGCGGACAGCACAGGGATGACCAGAGACTGCGGACAGCACAGGGATGACCAGAGACTGCGGACAGTACAGATGACTGCTGACCTTTGGGGAGGTGGGGAGCGGGTACCTGAATTTGACAGGTACCCGCTCTTACTTCCGCAGAGTTTTTGTTTGATCTTACCTGTTCCTCGATCCAGCCGTGCGCTGTCTTCCCGGCTTCTGTAATGGCGCTCGGCATGACAGCCGGGTGCCCAGTGCGCATGAGCCAGAAGCACTTGCGCTTTGTGATTGGTCCGGCGGCTTCTGGGATCTGTCGTGTCACGTACCCCTGGATAGAGGAACAGGTAAGGTCCCGCTGCAGAGCTGAGCGGCCGCCGCGGTATTCTGACACCGGACACGGCCGCGGCCGCTCCATATTCGCTCCATAAGACGCACTGACATTTCCCCCCCAGTTTTGGGGAAGAAAAAGTGCGTCTTATACGGCGAAAAATACGGTAGGTTTTGTCTAGATTACTGCTATGAAGAGCTCTACATCAGGCTGACTTAATTTATGTCCAGTGTTTTATTATTATTATTATTATTATTATACAGGATTTATATAGTGCCAACAGTTTGTTTAGCGCTTTACAATATAAGGGAGACAGTACAATTACAATACATTTCAGTACAGAAGGAATAGGAGGGCCCTGCTCATGGAGCTTACAATCTAAAGGAAAGTGGAGATGATACAAAAGGTGATAGCTGCGGGGGATGATCTGGTGGAGGTGATTCAAGTACAGTTCTTAGGTGGAGGTGGGGTAGGCTTCCCTGAAGAAGTGAGTTTTCAAAGATCGCCTAAAGGCAGATATGGTGGGGGCTGACCGGACATGCTGTGGTAGGGAGTTCCAGAGGATGGGAGAGGCTCTGGAGAAGTCCTGGAGGTGAGCGTGGGAGGAGGTGATGAGGGAGCTAGAGAGGAGGATATCATGGGAGGAGCGGAGTGGGCGATTTGGGGCGGTATCTGTGGATGAGGTTGGTGATGTAGCTA